TCTCTTGATGTTGGAATAGTTTGATAGAAATCATAAGACTTGAATAAAAGAATTTTTGATTTACATCTCTGATTTCATCTTGAAATGATTATTTTTTTGCAATGATCAGATTATTGTCGAGTGTTGTCTGAATATTTTATTAATCATTTTTTACTAAACCTGACGAGTATATAGAAGACACAACATGTATACTTGCTTTTTCGAGATTTATGCATAATATCAATTTCGATTTAATCGGAGTAAGTAAAAAATCAATAGAATAATTATCAGTATTATAATTCTCATAAAATATTACTTTTATGAGCTTTCAAACTTTTATTTCCTTTATTCAGCAATTTTTAATATAATTCATTAATGCTTGCTTTCACCTAGTTAACTCAAACTTAGTTTTTCTTGAGTAAATTATTATTATTCAATATCTGAGAGAAAAATATTTACAAAGTTAAAATAATTTAGCAAGTATACAAAAAATTTTGTTATTATAAATTCTATTTGTGGAAAAGATTTCATAGATGGAAAGCATTATAATAACTATCCGTAATACTTTATATGATTTTAAACTAATATTTGAATAACTTTGTTTTGATTGAATAAATCATTGCTGATATGGTATTAATAAAAATTACGAGATTATGAGTAATCTCGGTGAATTCTAATCAAGAAAGGCTTAGATTCTTCTTTATTCTAAGATGAGACCATCATAATTCAAAAGTGCTCGTTGTTGTGTTATACAACGTTAGAATAAGAATAAAATGAAATTATCTCTCAATTACATTATGAAATAGTCATCTTAAATTTAAAACATAAAATATGGATGAAAAATTTGTCACTTTCTTTTCTTTTCTTTTCATCTTTTTTCTTACTCTTTATCTTATAATAAATTTAATGATTTTCATTTATAAAGACATTGCTCGAAGTAATTCATGAAATTTAAGTTTATATATTGGGTGTATAGAGAAGACTTCTTGACAAGAATAACCATAGGATAGTGTATTTCTAGGCATATTGAACAAAGAATATTTGACTTGAAAATTTGTCTTTAAATACGTCTTATAATCGTCAGAAGATCGTAAAATTTTTTAGTTCTAATAATTGCTTTTTATTAGAGTTATTTGATCTTCAAAAATTTAAGGTTGATCAGATAGTTTCTTCAATCTAAACGATTTTTTATCGTGAAATAATTCGAGTCATGAGTAATTGTTATGGATGAAAATTTTAGAATCCTCTTAGAATAATAAAACCTAATTAGAGACCGATTTTCAGGTGAAAAATTCTCTGCTCAATATTCTCAGCAATAGGCTGCCATATGATAAACATTTAATAACACAATCTTAACATTGTAGAAAAGACCTAAGGACATGAATCTTTCTGAGTTCATTCTTGTCTAGGTCTCTTTTCTACATTCTCGAATCGATGAACTCCAAAGGACTGAAACACCTCGGGTGGTGCTCTAGTGTGTAGAATCTAGAGAAAAATTTATTTGAAACACTCTTGTCCTTGAAATGAAAAGAATAACAAGAAAAATATTACTAACGTTGAATTTCAAAAGGGACATTCTTTAAGTGCTAAAAAGCTTTTGAAACGAGATATCTGTCATTAGGTCGCATCTACTGATACTACGCATTACCTATAATGAAATCTTGCTGCTGTTATTTTCTTTCTGAATCATGAACATTTTACTGAGGCTCTAACCTAATATGTATAATATGTTATTAAATATTTAGTGTTATCATGTTGGTTTGAAATTTTGCCCATAAAGAGATCCCATTGTCACTATCATACACCGAAAATTTCAGGTATGAAAAATGTTTTCGTCGTGAGATCACAGATTCACAAGAAAATTTCACTTTTCTGAATTTTCGAAAAATATGTACATTTGTTGAAAATATAATATCTTAAGAGAAATATATTTGTTTTAGCTGAAACTTTCAATGTATGATAGTGGTTGTAAGACATCTTTATAAGAAAAATTTCAGATAAAAATCACAACATTGAATTTCTAATAATGACATAATTTTGTTAGAGTAGAAACTCAATAAAATGTTCATAAATCGAACAGAAAGTAACAAGAGTATGAATCAGTATAGGTTTTGTCTAGTATCACTAGACTCAACCTAATGACGCAAGACTCATCTCAGAAGTTTTTTATTATTTGCACAGAGTCCTTCGTAATATGATACTCTCAAGTTACATTGTTTTCAATAATGTAAATGCGTTGTTCAATTACTATTGACAATGACTCTAATCTATGATCTTATGCACTTCTTTTAAAATAAAGAATCATTTATTAAGAAGCATATGAAGAAGTCAAAATACATAGAAGTAAATGGACTTTATATTATCGAAAATAGAAGTAAATTTTCAAGTGATAAAGATAATCTAATATCCATATATTTTTTGCTTCTTTTTTTTTTCTTTCTATTTTGCTTGGTTTTCCGATCTGCTCTGCTACAAGATAATTATTTTCCGCATCATTTCTATGATAAAAAAAAAACCCACATTGATAGAAATGAACACACTACTAGACAGAATGAGTGAACGAGTCATTTCACACTCCGATCTAACATACTCGGCCTATATTGCAATCATTATTCGATCTTAAGCTCGTCTTGTTTTATTTTATGTATGTATGTATGTATGTGTATTTGCAAACGTTTATATATATATTTATATATATTCGTTTAATGTCTATCTATTGATATGTAGAAGCTTGAAAAAGCAATAATCTGCATATTCATCAGATTGTTTTCTAGATTCTATAAGTTGCTCTTTAATCATCGAATCCGATAAAGAAGTCGTATGAGAGGGAAAAGAGAACACATCTAAGTGTTTTTGTCACACTCGAATCAGCCTTTCAAAATCGATTTGAAACTAGATCAATGTGCATTGAACAATCAGTTTCCTCCTTCCTTTTCCTATTATTATTACTATCATCATTAAAGTTGCAACAATTATCATCAAGAAAATGAATACTGTATAATTATTTGATAATATAAAAAGAAAGAGAGAGAAAAAGAAAGATTGTTGTAAGTTGAAAAAGCTTTCTGGTTTCCTTCTAGATAGTGAAGTACCTGTTCCTTCTCTGTTGTTTTCCATTCTAAAATTAAAACATATATATATATATACTTCTGTATAAAAGTAGAAAAGAAAACACAAACAGATCTTTTCATGTTAGTTAGAGAAATGATTAAATTAGGGAAAAAACATTATTCTAATAAGGTAATTTTGAATAATTACATGCTATTATTTTCGATAAGATTTCTAATAATGTATTTGTTTGCATTGATGATTTGAATATAGAATAGTTAATTTTACTATTGTTTTCTTTTCTTTCATCCAAAAATACAAAAACAAAAGATTTTAGATAAATGAGTATCATAGTTAGTTGACTTAAGCTAACATGTTATTATTTACATCGTACATATTCATGCACGATCATCCTATCGGAGATGAATGTCAATAAATCATTGATATTCTCTCTATTAACAAGACATTTTCATACTATTGTACGTCTTTATCTTCTTATTCTAGAAAGAATAGCTTCAAATGACATAAATAGTTTTAAAATTCATTGATAAATGTGTTGATTAAAAATCATAATAATTCAAAATAAAACATAGCATAAAAAAATGCACTTAGTACTTTTAGTTTATCTATAAGTTAATGTTGATCAATCATTGAAAACTATGCGATTTTCTGAATTAATCATTTGATTACAAATAAGATTTCTTCGATTCGTTAGTGAACGATTGTCTCGTATGCACTTAGAATACCCTTAAAGTAATATGATGATTTCTTTGCTATAGAAAGCAAAAAAAAAGAAAAGAAAAGATATATCAATACGAAAGATCTTATTGAGCTTATCCATACGTTCGTTACGAAGCGAAGAGATGCAGAAAGAAATGACACATGGTGTCGAATAGATGATGAAATATGATTATTGTGAAAAGACGATAGCGAAAAACAAGACGAACAGCCTCGAGTATGACCATGAGAGACGAAGAAAAAACAGAGAAAAGGGTTTTTGATAATAAAAAGAGAGGAAAACTAGCGGATGAATAGTACTGCTGTATTTCGCTCACACATCACTTCCTTCTATTTCAGTTTTTTTGACAATAATAGCTGACTAACTATTGGCACTGGTGAGTGTGACTATGTCATTATGATGCCTACATACTTAGAGAACAATAATGTAAATGTAAGAGAAAAATATAAGTATTAAAACAGCAGCTTGAGTGCACAAAAGAATAGTCTTTTCTCGATCTTTTAGCATCGACATCAGACGATTTTTTTTTTATAATTTTTGTTTCATACATTGACACACATGGTGCTACTCACATTGATAATGACTATCATAATATTCATCATTGACAATAATCATAAAGGATACATATTGGTTAGTAATATTGTGCCTATGATTTTCTTTTTTGTTTTCAATTTATAAAAGATGCCTTAGGGAGTAATAAGTGTAGATATATTTTTATTGAATAAATTAAATAGTCGAAAAAAGAAAGCGGCAAATATGGTTTAATTTTCCTTTTGACAAATGTATCTATGTGTGTAGTCATCAGGTGTTTTTACGAACATCAGAATTGCTTAATTTATATTGGATAGGTTTTTTATTATGGAAGTATAAATGCTCTTTTATGAGTATTATATTTTTTCAATTTATCATTCCAATAAATTTCAAATAAGCAAAACTGTATCTATTATTTATTCGCTATAGATTTTTCTATATAATCAAGTACATGACATTAAATAATATAGACAAAACGGATGTCGAATACGTGTCTGATAAAGATATATAATAACATGAGGATTTTATTGATTGTTCGAAAGATTAATGTACACGTAGAATCATCGCATAGATCCGGTCATATGTTTGTCATTCAGGTTATTTTAATATTTTTCTTTAGGTGACAAAGTTGGAAAACAATGTTTTTTACTTGTTATCATGATTATGAATAATCTTGATCAGATATATTCTAATTATTTTTATAATGAAAACTTCTTTGAAAACTTTACAAAATAATAATAATCATTTAACTAAATATAATTATAAAGAATTATCAACAAATAAACAAAGAAATTTCGAACAAAATATGTCAATATCAATGAAGAATAAGAAAAATTATCGAGAAACAGAAATCAACGATGATAGTGATGATGAAGCAGAAGAAGAAGAAGAAGAAGATGATGATGATGAAAATTCAAAACTTGTTTCCATTAAAATAGACAATAATCAAGAACAAAAACAAAAACAACAATATGAACAACAACCATCCCCAACAGGACTACGTTCTATATTACGAAAACGAACCGAGAAAAAAATGTCATCAAACGCTTGTAGTAATGTTCAACAAACATCAATCACAATAGATGAGAACGCCAATGATGATGACGAGAAAGATTCTGATGATTACACAGGCGATGAGAACGAACAAGAAAGTAATGGCAGTAACAAAAGCAAAGAAGAGGAAAGTAAAAACAATGAACAACAGCAACAGCAGCAACATCATCGTTGTCGCAATTATTCTCGTCATACGCAAAGAAATCGATTTTTTCGAACATCACCATCTACATCCCTCATCTTTCCATTAGACACAAGTAAAACAGAAACAGAAATAACAGCATCAGCAACAGCCATAGAATTTCATGAAGACGATCACTCTCCTAGTCATACTGCGTGCGTAACATTTACTAACGATAAACCGACTATCATTCATAGAAGTTCATCGACACCTCAACTTAGTGGCATTGATGTTCAACCACGTTCATCAGTTACATATATAAATATGAGAGAAGATATATCAACAACAATGCCTATAACAACAACAACTGGACCATCGGCTAGTTTAACTACTGACTTTCATCCTGTATATGTATCACCATTAAAATACCGACCATTAGTTGGTCTATCAGCAAACCATAGTCGTATGTTACTGGAAAAACGTGTTTCACTACTTGGAAAACCTGTTGTTTTACATCCCATTCAAAGACGTTCAGCAACATATCGACGTACTCAATTACGTATATACAATTTTTTAGAACGACCACACGGTTATAAAGCTGTTATTTATCATACATTTGTGTAAGTAATTTATTTTCTATTATCATCTTTTCTCTTTCTTTTTTTATCTGAAGAAAAAATTAATTTTCTTCAAAAACAGAAAAAACACAAAAGTTTCCTTCTTCTCATTTTCTTAATCGATAAACAATAAAAATCATTAAATGATTTCAATAAGATCGATTTGCTCGACATCCGGCATAGGATAACAAAAGAAAAAAGAGAAAAAGGAAAAACCTTTCCAGCTCATATAGTGCTTATTTTAATTGCAAAGAATAGGGCCCTAAAGACTAGAATTATAAGCAAAAGTCATCTCCGATTAAAGTTCGGTAACGGATCTTCTTTTCTTGTTTTTTTGCTTCTTTCCCTTTGGAACCATTGACATAAGTCTACGACATATCGTGAGATGTTATTAAAAAAAAATGATCGATTCCACGTGATCTTAGTGTTTTTTTTATGACTATGAAAATAGATAAAATCTACATTCAACTATCAATATTTGTCGATATTTGTGTTGAAGATGTTTCATTCATAAGATTATCAATGAAGGAAAAAACTATAAGCTTTCTTTTTCTCTTTTTTTGTTTTTGATTTCCACAAATTGCTTGACTTTTATATGAATAGAAATAAGTATACATGAATTAATCATAAGTTGTTTTCTTTTGCTTTTTTTTATTTTTTTTGCATACGTTGCAAAAAACTGAAAAATCAATATTTAGAATTAGTTCATTTATCTAAATGTGTATCCATGCAGAGATATTGATTTTGTCAGTTCGTGCTTTATTACATGCACAGAAAAAAATGAGAAAAACTAGGCATTAATGAAGGAAAGGACACCGTTATAATTAAAAGATACAATGTAAAAACGTGTTTTTATAAGCCTTGGAATGTTTTTCTAATTAATGTACACTCATGTGAATAATGAGGAAATAGAAATTTCTGATATATTTATGTTTTTCAAGATCTTGTTAAATATAATGCAAACAAAGATTTCTATAGATTGACAATAATGACTAAACATATAACATTAATGTGGTTTTCATGTTTTTTATTTTCTTTAGAATTTTTCTATAAAATCTTGAAGATTGTTTACTGAGTATTCATTGTCATTACTTTTTTTTTTGTCAAAAGAAAAAAAAATAAATCCTTTATTTCTTTCCTAATTAGTAATCGTTTCAATAATTGTTCTGCTGACCAATATACATTGGAGAATAGTTCAATAAATCAAAACTTAGAACCTGATTTTTGATGATGACTATTATTGTTGAGAATATGTTTCTAGTCGTTTAATGCACTAATTGCTTTTGTTTTAAGATAATTTAATATAAATAAATCAATTTATATATTTTATCAAACATTTGTAATGTTTATAAAAAGAAAACATATTGTATATGAAGATAATATTTATAAATAAATAATAAAAAAAGAAGAATTCTTAACTGCTCTATTTAAAATAGACATTATTAAGAAAAAATTTCCTGACATTCAAGGTGACATAGTACGCGTCAATCACTATATATAGCACATAGAAACATCCGAGAACAAAAAAAAAAAACAAGACTAGTATGATAGTTAATGAAAATATTTTATTGATTTCGCCTCAGCAGCTATTACAATGAGACACAATATATATTTCTTACAAAAATAAAATAGAAATTAATCAAAATTTTTTGAAATATGTAACATTTTTCTGATTTCAATAGGTTTTTCACCGTTTTTCTATGTCTATTTCTTTCTGTGGTGGTTACAATGCCTGAATATGAATCAATAGCATCAACTGTGTTATTACAAACTGTAAATATTTGTTTAATAAAATAACTATGTATTAATGATATCTAATTGAGTTTTTCTTTTTTCAATCAAGGAAATTATTGTAGTTATATGGCTTGCAACTGAATTTATATTACGTGTATGGAGTGCAGGTTGCCGTTCTCGTTATCAAACAGTAATGGGTCGTTTACGTTTTATGAAAAAACCTTTTTGTGCTCTTGGTTTGTGTATAAAAGGAAACAAAAAACAAAATGAAAATATTTGAATATTTTTATATAGATTTTATTGTAATTATGGCAACTGTCGTAACACTTTGTCTAAATAGTCGAGGTGGTAATGGAGTTTTTGCTGCATCAGCATTACGTGGTTTACGTTTTTTTCAAATTCTTCGTATGTTAAGAATGGATCGTCGTGGTGGTACTTGGAAATTATTAGGTTCTGTTGTTTATGCTCATAGACAAGTTTGTTTTCTTTTTTATTATTCTAAATAATTAACATGTTTTTTTTTTTTTCATATTTAAGGAACTTATAACAACAATTTATATTGAATTTTTAGTACTTATTTTTTCATCATTTATTATGTTTCTTGTTGAAAAAGATAGTATTATTGAAACAAAAGAAAGATTAATTCATAATACAACAAATCTAATGACATCAAGTTCAATAACAAATTTAATTGAAACTGATCGACATAAATTTGAAACATTTGCTGATGCATTATGGTGGGGAATTGTATGTATTAATCATTGTATTAATTATTATATTTGTTAATTAATTTTTCATTCTTCTTTTTATAGATTACATTATGTACAGTAAGATATTTTTAATAAATTTTAAATACAAAGAAAGATAAACATTTATATAGGTAGGATATGGTGATAAAGTACCATCATCATATATTGGTAAATTACTTGCTGCTATATGTTCATTTATTGGTATTAGTTTCTTTGCTCTACCTGCGGTATTTTTTTTTTTATATGTAGATAGTTTTTATTTTTATTTTAATAAATATTATAGGGTATTCTTGGTTCTGGTTTTGCATTAAAAGTTCAACAACAACAACGTCAAAAACATTATAAACGACGAAAGATTCCTGCAGTTTTATTAATACAAAATCTATGGCGTGTCTATGCAGCTGATGAAAAATCTCTGTCAAAAGCAACTTGGAAAGTACATGTACGTCCACCGCGTAAAGAAACTAATGTTACTACAACATCACAAACAAATCCTCATCCAGTGTATGTCTTGTTTTTTTTTTTTATAATTTATTTAAAAAATGAACAACACATATCTAGTTTATTATTATAATAATTTTTTTTCTTCTCTAGTTCCTTTAGCTCATTTAGAATGCGTAATAATCAGTCATTTTTAAATCGAGTCAGTTTTCGACGACGCACACCAACACGAGAAACTGCAACGATTCCTCTAACTAATTCTAATAGAAGTAATAGTCCCAATATAAAATCTGTACCAAATTCAACAGTAGCTGCAATGCGTTCTTGTATTGATACACTTTCAGAAACAGTTAGTATCACACCATCAGCATGCATGAACGTACCACAAGAAGTATCCTCATCCGGTAAATTAGTTTTCTTATGTATGAATTGATGAAAAAAATTTTTAATTTTGTTTTACACATAGAGGGTGAAGATGATCATTTATATTATGCAAATGATGTTCAATCATTAACACCAACACATCGACATACAATTCGATTTATACGAAAAGTTAAATATTTTGTAGCAAGACGAAAATTTCGTGAAGCTTTACGTCCATATGATGTTACTGATGTTATAGAACAATATTCAACAGGCAATGTTGATATGCTTGCTAGAATGAAATATCTTCAAGCTAGGTAAAATTTATAGAATATAAAATTATTCTAGATATATATATATATATAATGTTTATTTTAGATTGGATAAAGTATTGGGTACATCGAAATCAATTGATAATTATGAATCAGGCCCAAGTCTAACATCGAGAATATGTAAAATTGAAAGACAGGTAATATCTGTTTTAAACGCTATTGCAACTACGTCTTAATTGCGGACACATTTTTGGTCAGCTCAGGAAAAATATGTACAAAGCAGAATTGGAAAATGATAGTGTTTAATACAGCGCAAAGGCCGAGAAAGCGACGCCTCTTCGAAAATCGGATCGATTCTCATGTACTTTGTCGTTATTGTACTATGTGTCTGTACTCCCAAAAATAAATATTCGTCTTCCCAAACTTTTAATTCGCTCCTTCGAAAGAGGAAATCTAGATGAAACACTGAGAGAAAGAGAAACATAAATGGACTAAAAACTCATTAACGAACATAATTGAACATATAAATTTTATTATATTTATACTTAAGATCGTCTAGGTCGTTGGATCAAACATCTTGATGTATTGATAAGAAAAAAAGTACAATCTCTTTTGATCACTATTAAGATTCAAAAGACCATTTAGATATTCTTGCTTTTCTTGAACAAAAATGTTTTCATATTCTCATTAATGTGGTTCTATTAAGACATGTCGAACGTTATTGTTTATTTAATCCGAACCAAGTTTGATTCTTCTGACTCCTGGATACATCTTATCCAGACTCGAAGAGTTAGATGCGGTTGATAATGAGAATTTAATTGGCCATGCTATCCTTCTACGTAGTTGTAAGTTTTTAGTCGCATTCTAATGAGATCAAATAGAGATTCAGAATGAGGAAGAAAATAAATCATTTTCATTATATCTACAGACAATTAAATCTGTTAATCTTGAAGAAATTTACATTTTTAATTTCTTCAATAATATTACAAAATATTAAATTAATTTTTCTTAAATCGGACTATCTACACTGATCATCTAACTATATTTATTTTCGTTTGTTTCCATAATGTGAAAATTCTTTTTTCTCTCTTTTTCTCGATTTTACTTTACGGATATCTTTTTTGCCTGTAATTAAGAAAAAATATGCGCAATCAAGAAGACACTACTATTTCGTTCCATTCAATTTCATTTTAAATTATACTAATGATCGTTGATATATGAATGCAAACACAATAAAAAATTAATTTTATGATATAATATCATTTGTTTCTCTTGGTCAGATTAAGACTAATCAGCTTTTTTTCTTATGAATAAGCCGTTGCCATATCTAACATAGCATGCATAATCAAACCTTATAGCAAATAGAGAAGTATTGCAATATTGAGATATCTCAAAATTTATTTGAAAAAAGTTTTTTTTTATTATTTATGAAAACCAAGTTTATTCGCATGACAACTCGATTACTTTACACAATTCATATCAAGTAAAATATCTTTGAATCGCCATGGCTGAGTGACTACGTTGCACTAGGCACGCGTACCTCCAAAATACAATGTGAAACCTTTAGTACCACTAGTCATAGAATAATCTCGAACAAGTCACTAACAACTGGTTGTCTCTAATCATTCGCCCAATAGCATGCTGACTACGTTGTGACATACATTTGCTCTTGAGGTTAGTTAGTGTACATGTACAACTCAAGAACTTTGCATCAAATTGATCTTCTGTTCAGAATTACAGCTAGTAACAGTTATAGCGAAGATATCTAAATATTGAATCTGAGCTAGGCAACTCCGTATATCGCAAGAATAGTGGAAAGACAAGAGTATTCTTCTTTCTCTTCGTATGTCACCTATAATTTGAAGTTGAATTACATGATTTTCTTAAGCTTCTTAATATCTTTCATCCGTAACATCTCACAAAATGAATATAAAAAACAATTTATTCTCTTGAAGTTATATTTAAACTTCTGCAGAATAAATTTATGAAAAATCTTGTTCAATCATGTAACAAATAAGGCTGAACCATTTCGACAAAACTTACAAGTCATTTACAGATTTTGTTTACAAATTAAAGTTAAAGTTGAACATTCTGTTTTTTCATCATTGTACCTGTTGTGAAAATGTCAATGTCATTAAGGAAAATTCATCTAGTCTTAGGCTAAACAGTATGAATAGCTTAATACTGATAAAAAATTTGCTTCTATAACAGGAACTGCTTTTATAACATCTATTTTGGTACGAATCTGATATACTTCTTTCGTATTACATAAGAACAAACTTAGCTGGATTTTTTTGTTCAATATTTGTTTTCATTTTAATTCTAAGTAAAAGCAAATCATCTTTTTTGCGAATTAAGAAAAACATCTTGATAACTTTTTTTGATAATCAATCGATCAGTACAAACAAAATCATCTTATTAATTATAAAACAAATGTAATTTTAATATTTTTGTTTATAGGTAGAAAGTTTGGATATGAAAGTAGATAGACTCTGTCAATTGACTAATAGTTTATTAGAATGTAGTATTCGACATCAAACCTCAACTCCAACTCCAACAGGACCTCTCACCATAAATCATACTCGAGCTGGTAATCGTTTTTATGCCTATCGTCGTCAACGACGACGAAATCATCCTCGAACCATGATATCGGCATCATCACAATCACCACAACCAGTACAAACGTCATTGATACATAATTCATCTCCAACAAATTTAACACAACCATCTGTACATTCATCATTATCAGCAAGAGATCCATCCCGTGAAAGTCTTGTTAGCCTCTATTGGCTCTTTCAAGATAATATGAATTCCTCAAGAACTCATTATGTTTAATAGTTCTTCGTTTATTTTTTTTTTCTTGCTGATATTTACATTTATTTGTCTATATACATTAGAAATTCTTCTATTTCGATAATATTTGTTGCTTCATGTGACCGGTGCCTTATCTGGTTGTTATAATTCCTTTCTATGTCACTCACTGTTTTTTTTTAAATTGCTGATCAAAAATATAAGGAGCAATGAACAAAATATGAATCATCATCTAAACTTTGTTTTTATTACCTCATTATTCTTGCAAAACATGCACTGACCTTGAATGTTCGAAATCAGTCTTGACTACAAGCATGTACGGTTAATTAATCAAAAAAAGAAGTAGAAGTAAACAAAAAGACAGAGACAGAGCTTCAGACTTAGCTATGATAGATATATATATGCATTGACATAAATGATCCAAAAAAAACGAAGGTCCATAGACATAATGAAACAAAATCAGCAATGTTCATAAATACTCGAACTTGAACTTAACAGAACCTTAGAGTGTTTCCATAATTATTCATATAGTGATGAACTTAACTTAAGAGCAGTTTTACTTTAAAGTTTTTTTTCTCGATGCTAATTGCTAGCAGAAATCTGAAAAAACATTTGTGTAACTGAAAGGCAGCAGTGTCCAAGGACTGAGTTTTGGGAATTCTTCCAATTCCTACAATCACCAGCTATAAGTGACATATCTCTCGAGGAACTGAGAACTGACCCTCAAGCACTTCACCAAACCTCCTCGGTTTGTCATCAATTCCTTGTCGTGAATAAATCACAAACCTTTGCAACGACAGCTCTCAAACCACGATACCTTCTCATTTCCTCATTTCCTCCCGTGGGTATCGACCGCCGACAGTTCCTCAGATAAGGAATCGAGGAAATACCTAGAACTAACCGTCAATACCGATCGGGGGAACTGACACCAACATTAGCCACCATCATTCGAATCCTATAAGAAGGATCCAGACAATAACAATTACCACACCAATGCGAGGAGACGGCGAGAAACTAAGGAATTGTGACAGTTTTGTTGGCAGTTCATAGGAACTGAGGTGGATACCTAGAGACTTTCAAGGTATCCACCTTCGTTCCAAGAAACTGTCACAGTTCCCCAGTTCTCCGGCTTTTTTCTATATATGGTATAATTTTAGTATCTAAAGAGTACTACGTCATTACCTCAATTCTCTCGGGGAACTGAGGGTAGGTGCCGTGCAGGTATCCACCTCAGTTCCTAGGAAGTGTCAGCAGAACTGTCACAATTCCTCAGTTCCCCGGCTTTTTTCTGTATCCGGTATAATTTTACTATCGAAAGAGTACTACGTCGTTACCTCAATTCCCCTGGGGAACTGAGGGTAGGTACCGCGTAGATATTCACCTCAGTTCCCAGGAACTGTCAGCAGAAGTTAAATCTTTCTCTAGTATCTATGCTGCCTTAAATGAATCAAGAAAGCCTCCCAAGAAGTATAGAGTTTATATCAGAAAAAAATCAAAAGCCTCAGTCCTTCTCGTTCCCTTGACATATCCCTCCACAGTTCTGCCCAGTTCTAAATGACAATTCCTTGGTTGAAATTTCCGTGACCAATTCCCCAGGAAAAATAAAGAATTATCCCTATTAACGAAGGTGTATACGACTCAGCTAATCAATCCTTCTCGAAGTAATAGGAACTTAGGGTAGGTTCCTTCTAGGCATCTACCTCAGTTCCGCGAGGAATTCAGGTAACGTCGTAGTACTTTTTAGAGATTAAAATCACATCAGATACAGAAAAAAGACGGGGAACTAAAGAATTGTGACAGTTCTGCTGACACTTCCTAGGAACTTAGATGAATACCTACACGGTACCTACCCTCAGTTCTCCAGGGGATTGAGGTAATGACGTAGTACTCTTTAGATACTAGAATCACATCGGATACAGAAAAAAGCTGGGGAACTGAGAAATTGTGACAGTTCTGCTGACACTTCCTAGGAACTGAGGTGGATACCTGCACGGTACCTACCCTAAGTTTCCCAGAGAAATAGAGGAAACGACGTAGTACTCTTTAGATACTAAAATTATATCATATATAGGAAAAAGCCGGAGAACTGGGGAACTGTGACAGTTTCTTGAAACGAAGGTGGATACCTAGAAAGTCTCTAGGTATCCACCTCAGTTCCTATGAACTGTCAACAAAACTGTCACAATTCCTTAGTTCCCCGCCGTCTCCTCGCATTGATGTGGTAATTGTTATTGTCTGGATCCTTCTTATGGGATTCGAATGATGGTGGCTAATGTTGGTGTCAGTTTCCCCGATCGGTTTTGACGGTTAGTTCTAGGTATTTCCTCGATTCCTTATCTGAGGAACTGTCGGCGGTCGATACCCACGGGAGGAAATGAGGAAATGAGAAGGTATCGTGGTTTGAGAACTGTCGTTGCAAAGGTTTGTGATTTATTCACGACAAGGAATTGATGACGAACCGAGGAGGTTTGGTGAAGTGCTTGAGGGTCAGTTCTCAGTTCCTCGAGGGATATATCACTTTTAGCTGGTGATTTTAGGAATTGGAAGAATTCCCAAACCTTAGTCCTTGGACATCCCTCCTGAAAGGATTCTCTATCAGAATTGATATGTTTGAAGACGTCACTGAAACTAAGATCTCTCCCATAATCAGCTTTCTAGCATCAATTTAAAGCTTTTGAAAAAAAGAGTTTATTTGAGAGAGCAAATAACAATGATTAAAATAATATGTATCTGATCCAGGCTTCCCGATGGGGGGGGGGCGGGGGGGGTCTAGCCCCCCCCCAAAACTTGAAAAAATGTCCGACTTTCTGCGAAAATTTCTTACACTTTCTGCCAAATTTTTGAAAATTTCATAGTAATATCTGGCAAAAACTCAATTTTTAAGCACTAATCACCATTTTTCTGGCAGAAAGTCGAAGGACAATACTTTCTGTCAACAAAAGCTCGTAGACAGTCGATCAAATTAGCATTCGTTGTTCAGTTTCTGCCGAAAAGTCAGGTGAGGCACTTTCAGCCAAAATTTTTGGACTTTCTGCCAAAATTTTTAGACTTTCTGCCGAATTTTTAGCCCCTCCCACTTTTCAAAACAATCGGGAACCCTGATCTGATCTCTCCATGACATTCTCTCATCAAACTGCATTCAATTTACGAAAAACCAAAGAAGCATTTTTCTCTTCTTCTTCTATTGAAAATTTCAATGTTTTTTCCATATTTGACGCTGTAGAGCCTTCTACAAATTGAATACAGTTCGATGAAGGAAAGTCATGAAGAGATCGATTATGTCTCATCTCGCTTAGAATCATTTGCTCTCTCAAATAAAATCTTCTACCAATAGCTTTGAAAGGAAGTGAGAAAGCTGATTTGCGAGGTCTTAGTTTTCTGCAGACTTTCTCCCAAGCAGTTTTACTCAAGGCTTAAAATCTACCAACCTTAATAGAGAATTCTTTTAGCTACGCAAATGTTTTTTCAGATTATTGTTAGCTATTGTCATCGAGAAGAAAGTTTAAAGATATAGATGTTTTAAACTTTGTGTCCGTCATCATATATCTCAAGAAAAGCTTAGGCAAATACCTCACACTATCTGAACTGGTTGAATAATTGCCGAATACAGAGATAGAGTTTAGATTTGGTACATGTCTAACTCTTGCTTCTCTTGGATCGAGATGATTGGTAATAACTTGAACATAACACATATTTTTTCAATTTCATTTATTGAAAATTAAAAGACACAAAATAAGACAATGATAACAAATAAATTCTACTTTGTTTTAGAAAAAATATGATATATATATATATATTATACATGTCTAGAGAATGCCTATGATTCGTTGAGATTTTGGTTTTTTGCAATGACAATGTGAACAAGGTTTTTTTTGTTGTTGTATCAAAACAATATGATCAATATGAATTTGATAATGATGATTAGAACGATGTTGTCGACGTTTTTTATGAATTTTATGATGAACAATCATTTTTGAACGTGGAGAAGGCACAACCGGTATTGTTTGTTGTTCAATCGGATCTATTGAACGAGGATTTGGAGTTGAGGCACGAGGAAATATTTTATTGTTGGACGTTTGTGGAGTACTCGTACCATGATAGACAGTATTGATTGATGAGCGAAAACGTTTGTAACCTTGGGATTGTGCCATTAAAATATTATCTAAATAGAAAAAAAGAACAATACTATCCAAATGAATAAATATTCTTTATTTTTTTGTCTTTGCTTGATTTTAATTGGCTATTCAAGATATTGAATAAAGAAAAATAATTCGTGACGTGATACATAAAAGATATATTCTCCTTCAACACACTAACTCAATTCTATATCTAAAAGTTTAAATTTGAAAACAGTATCAGTGAATATGATCTGAGATTAACTTTGATTAGTACAAAATTAACTTGATTATCAACGTTCAATAAACTTAATCGAAGATTTCAGTGTTTTATCTAGATGTTCTTGTCCGATGGGACAGTTAAAAAATCCGGAAATGCCAGCCTCATTTTCGGACAGGTACCAGTCCCTCGGCTCTCACGCTAGATAAAACATTAGAATATTTGGATACAAACATATAGAACAGAATCTGTAAAAAAAAAATATACAAGAGATATAACTTTTTAAGTTAATCGACTCTGATCGACCCACAAAGACAAAGTACAAATTTATCAAGTAGAAGAAAGTTTTAGAGAAATCAGCAAAGAGATAGCAGTCAAAGTAAAAAAAAAGAAACAGCTTTTCAAAGTCCATTCGAGATAGTATAATCTTTTTATTTTCATTTCTAATGAAGAAAAATGAAAACTGAAGAAACTTCACTACGGATGGGGACTCCCGTTTTACCACGCTGTTGATATCCATCATTGTTATCAAGATAATATAAAGCAAAGCAATTATGAAAAAAGATCATTTAAAATACAAACCTCGAACTGATGTAATAATATTATATATATAATATACTAATGATTTAGTAGAACATAAAAACAGCTTAGATGAAGAACCATTCATAATTTCATCAAAGATAATATAT